TGTGTGTGTGTGTGTGAGGGAGTGTGTCTGTGTGTATGTGATGGCATCTTATTACCAAAGCGTATTAGACATGATTGATTGCATTGAGCAATAATGATTTGTAGCCGAGGCATGTTTAAGTGTCTCCCTCTATATGTGCTTGAGCTTCTGTGTGTGTGTGTGTGTGAGTGAGTGTCTGTGTGTGAGGGGGCGCGCTTAGGTCACGTGCAAGTGTGTGAAAGTGAATTGCATGACTGACTGCCTTGCCAGCTTATTTTCGAGAGCAGCTGTAAACGTATGAGGGTATAGCAAATCACATTGCACGCTTTGTGCCCCAACTATTGAGCCTATTGAGCCACATGATTATGCTGGCCAAAAGAAAAAAAAAAAAAAATTGCATACTTTAAGCGCTGTTAGAGGTTGCGGTTAAGGCTATCAAGTGAAAGTGCAGAGCAGGTTAAATTCAGGGTTTAGGTTCAATAGAATTCAATTAATTATCATATAAGAAGATTCATGTGTTATTTTTATCCGTATGTAATGCGCATTATATTGTATACATGTATGTCTAAGCAACATTCTTAACATTATTCATTGATAATGTTAAAGCCAAGCCTGCTTACAGTTTCCTAACTCTGTTAAATTTTTTAGTAATGGCTTCCTACTGTTGCAGCTGTATTAGTGAGCGATTGACCTCTCGCGATCGTGTGCCTTTTAACAGTGCACTGTAGTGCTGAGCGCTTGTATGTATATTGCTCTTTGTTTTGCATGTATTAATTTTCACTCCAAAATGGGACGTGACAGAGAGAGATAGCTGTCACTGTTAAACGACTCAATCAATGATAGTTACTGCTGCACATAGTGTTGGATGGGAGTGAGAGCGAGAGGGCTACGCTTCGGACATGCTCGCTTTTATTTCGTTGAACGAAGTGAGTGCGAAGAGGGATGAGAATTGTGAGAAGGTTCTCAGTGCACAGCAGCCAATGGGAAAGCACTATTATGTTTTTGACATTGAAAGCGATTAAGGTGACTCAGATTCGATTTATGTATGTGCTTCATGTTAATAGGCTTTGAATTACCAACTGGAATGCGCATATCACAGCTAAACTCTTTGGCTTCTTAAATATTTATCTCCATATTTCTATTAAATATTGATTTATTTAGTTTTAACACATTTTAAATTTATTCAAAGAAAATCAGGATCATCCCCTTTAAGTACACAGTTTAGAAAATGTCAGTCGAGTCAGTGTCTGTCAGGTTCTGGCTTATAATCAAGAGGTTATCTCGCAGCTCAAGAAGTTTCCCTTAATGCTTTACAAAAATAAAGTTCTCCGAGTGTCGAGAAAGTTGTCTATGATGCTGCAAGGGACACGGCTGTAATTGTGATGCGCCACATATAGATTTGTTGTTTCAGTGAATTACTCTCACTTTGGGCAAACTGTTTGCAATTGTCCACATTGCTGATTTTTCGTTTTCAGCTGCTGGGCAACTGTTTGCTGTGTCTACATTTCATGGCGCTGACCCAGTTAGCAGCCGTAAAGAGCACACATACATACATATAAACAGTCGAGAGTTGCTTAAGTATCACTGTAACTTTCTAAGACTGAGAGAGAGAGGGGGTGGCTTGGGGCGAGGGTGTAGCTTTTTAGACGAACTTTCACTTGGCTCAATGGCAAACTTACCTCGAATCGATGCGCTGCAAATAGTCCAGGCGGCTCAAGTGCAATTCGCGTAAATGAAACAAGTTTAAAAATGCTACAGCTGGCAAGTGGGCGAAACGATTGCCGCCCAGGTTCAAATAAGTGAGATTTGAAAGTTTCGAGAGCTGCTGGGTGGGCACCATCTGCAATGAGAGAGAGAGAGAGAAAGAGAGCTTTAGTGCTGTAGAATGAAAGAATGGCGAACAAAAATCATTTAATTTCAAGCGTTTAAGCAAAGTGAAATGGCAGCATCGGGGCCAAGCTTATAAAATGTTAATGCCATCCACTCAAATCTGAAAGCGTTCTGCGGCTGCACTTGATAGTTGCCACTAAGCTCCGCCTTGCACCCCTCTTTAGACCAAAGCGATTTGTTTCGCGCTGCTTTAAGGGCAACTCCGGCTGTTGTTCAACAATAAAATGTGAAACACTTAAAAAGCGCAGCTTTTGGCACCGGCTGCAGCTGCGGCGGCGGTGTCAGCGGAAACGGAAACGTCATGTACGTCATGTACATCCGTGCGCCATTTTCTGATGTCTGGCCAAATCGCTTTGTTAACCGTCTGTGTGTGTGTGTGTGTGTGTGGGTTGGCAATACAATCAATCTTGCAGCGAATTTGTTAGAGCCCCAAACGATACGTACATGAAAGAGTGTTCTAGTCGAGATTGCTCGACTAGCAGATACCCTGAGTTCTGCTAAAAACTGAAATGAAAATCATTCTTC